AACCTAAACCCTGTTTCACAACCAACATTTCAGCATGTTTAATCACAACATGTACATTAACAGGGTCATCATATGGTATATCATTCAAGTTTAATATTGATTCAAGTAACACTTTTTGATAAATCATGAAATTAAGGCACTATTCCAAGATTTTAACATGTAAGTGAATGCAACTCTAGCCCAAATTAAAAGGTAAATAAAAGATGGTAGGACTATATTTCATTGCTTTTTCTGCTAATTAGAAACTATCCTATTTATAGGTGAAGCGAAACGGAAAACACGGAAAATGAGGCTTTTCTACGTTGGTAATTTACGTATCCCATTTTATCCTTCGATTATATTGTTTTTAGTTCTAAAGGTACACTCCCCTCCATAAGTTTGGCAACCTCAGCTCCCCCATTGAACTACGTGTTAAAGCCTCTTTACGTTTGAAATTTTATTTACTTAACCGGCGATGAAATAACTTAAATATTAATGGAAACTTAACTTGACTTTATTTCCAATACCTCCAAATTTTCTCAATTTTTTCCTTAATCACAATATGTCGAAAATTGTTTATTTGATGAATACTAAAGTTACAGCGCTTCAAAGTCATTTTTGAAAATAATTTTTCGCCTCTTGTGTTATTTCAATGGGAGAGTTTTTTTGAAAAACAATTTTGACTTTAAAGCCCTATAACTTTGTTGAAGCTGAAGAAACACATAAATTTTTTGTTAAATAAAGTTAGCAAATTCAATTGAAAAATTTCATCGCTGGTTAAGTAAATAAAAATTCAAAGGTAAAGAGGCTTTAACACGTAGTTCAGTGGGGGAGCTAAGGTTGCCAAACTTATGGAGGGGAGTATATCTCTATATGAACAAGCACAGTGTGTTGTGTATAATTTGACTTAAATTTGGTGAATGATTTTGTTTATGTTTGCCATAAATCGAGTTTTTAAATGGTATGTTCAAATCATTTACACTGTATGGAATGGTATCACAATAATTACAGAGTACATGTACATGTTTCGCACAACGTTTTAGCTACCCGTATATCAAAATCCGTAACGTATTGATGGAGTAAAAGTGTACCAATTACGTATGTCTAACAGACAGCAATACGGAAAGTACGTAAACTAACGCTTTCTGTGCGTTGTTGTTTCCGTATCTATTTTGTCCTCCAAACCTTGATAATTTTTTCCATAAATGTATAATTTTAGTAACTCACATAACTCCCCTCCATAAGTTTGGCAAGCTTTGCTCCCCAATTGAACTACGTGTTAAAGCCTCTTTACGTTTGAATTACTTATAATACTAATGGAAACGTAACTTGACTTTATTTCTAATTCCTCTAAATTTTCCCAATTTTATTCCTCTAGTACAATAGGTCGAAAATTGATGATAAATTTGATGAATTTTTGAAAATCGTCTTTCCCATGTAAACCAATGGGAAATGGTGGGTTTGGGGCAAATCAGTAATCAGAATATCTGTTCAGTAAAAGATTCAGCAAAAAATATTTTCATAATAGAAAAATTGAATCTTTTTTGCACACTAAGTGTTTAGTTTACTTGATGAATACTGAAGTTACAGAGCTTCAAAGTCATTTTTATGTCCCCACCACATAGTCCGTCCCTCCGTCCGTCTGTCTGTCCGTCCGTACGTCCGGCAGTTTTCTCCAAAACCGCTACAGATATCACCTTCAAATTTTCAGGGATAACGTATGAGTGCATACAGATGTGCATGAAATTTTTTTAACTAACTCGATACCTACTTCATGTCGGCCATTTTGAAGCCAAATGCTAAAATGGCCTAAAATCCTTGTCTGCAAACTTAAAAAAACGGCTTACAATTGCTTTTAAAACTTTAATATCTCGTTCAGCTCACTTCATTCTACATCTGATTAGGTTTTGGACCTGTTAGCTCAGTCGTGTCAGCCACTTTGAATGTCTTTGAGATAATTTTGTAAAAGGAAATCAGCAAAAACTCATCATCACTTTTTTATTGTTGGCTATTTTGGATTTTTCCGTCCTAAAATCTTGTCTGTAGAGTCTTGTCTACGCATTTTCAGGTGAACCGGTTGGTAGATCAATTTCAAATTTCCAGGGATGATTCTTAGTATGAAAATCTAGATCTGATTAGTTTTTGGAGTTCTGGGTAAATGTCAAGGCAGCCATTTTGGATTTTTCGTCCTAAAATCTTGTCTGTAAAGTCTTGTCTACGCATTTCTAGGTGAACCGTTTGGTTGATTAATATAAATTTTCAGGGATGATTCTTAGTATGAAAAATCTAGATCCGATTAGTGTTTTGGCATTCTGGATAAATGTCAAGGCAGCCATTTTGGATTTTCAGTCTTAAAATCTGCCTGTTAAGTCTTGTTTACGCGTTTTTAGGTGAACTGTTTGGTAGATCAATTTCGAATTTTCAGGGATGATTCTTAGTATGAAAATCTAAATTTGATTAGTATTTTGGCATTCTGCGTAAATGTCAAGGCAGCCATTTTGAATTTTCCGTCCTAAAATCTTGCCCAATGTCTTGTCTACGCGTTTTCATGTGAACCGTTTGGTAGATCAATTTCAAATTTTCAGGGGTGGTTCTTAGTATGAACATCTAGAACTAACTAATTTTTGGGCATTCTGGGTAAATTTTAAGGCGGACATGTTGGATTTCTGTCATCAAATTGTGTCGGTAAAGTCTTGTCTACTCATTTTCAGGATAATCATTTGTCGGGATCACCCATTGGTTAACATGGGAATGTCAATTTTCAAAAATTCATCAACTTAATCATCAATTTTCGACCTATTGTAATTGAGGAAAAAAATTGAGAAAAGTAGCAGGTTAAGTTAATAAAAATTCAAACGTAGAGGCTTTAACACGTGGTTCAATGGGGGAGCTAAGGTTGCCAAACTTATGGAGGGGAGTGTATGTTACCATGTATATCGTACTAATTTTGATTAAGTAAGAGGCTTATCTGTCGATAATGAACGAATGGCTATAGACACCCCTGGGGTCACTGAACATTTTTTTTGAAAAATGCAATGTCGTTAATTTCCTTGATTTGTAGGATCAAATTGTAGATAAATATGTATATTTTCAAGAAATAGCAATAAAAAAACATTCGAGATTACTGATTTAAGTATATTTTGGTTGATTTGGGAGGTATGTATCACTTTCTGTGAAAATGTGAATTTTTCATCAGTCTCAGAAAATGTCTCCAGAATGTATACTAGTAAACCCAACTTGGCAGATATCCCATTGTTTGATTGTGTCACTCTACACATTGAATTAATATTTTGTACATATAAATAGTCATATTTCAATAGTCATTGAGTAGGGATTAGTTATGTTTTCAATTGTGTTGACATACTTCTTTTTAGAGAGAGGAAGGTCATGATAAAGTCTTACTTTGTTCACATAACACCTGGTTCTTTCCTAGAAATTCATATGTACCAAGGGAATAATGTACTTCTAAGGTTCTTTTTTGAGATATGTAAAAATCTAGGTAAGGCGTTGTGCAAAAATGGAACTTTTCTGCAATTTTCAGCATGAAATAAAATGATGTCAGCCATTTTGAAAATCCTTAGTATGATTGTGACAGTTGTGTTTTATATTTGAGTACATTTTCTATATTCATTTTGAACCAGGAGCCATAGGGGAGTTTTCTGTATTGATGTTTAACAGAAATAACTTAAAACAGGGACCCTATCGACAGAGGTTTTAAAACGGGCCACTATCGTTGACGGAAAAGTGGATTTTGCGAGACAGATGGACAAATCAATGTTAACTAAAATGGCTGAAAATCAAAAAATGGATATAATTTTTTGCTGATTTTTTGTAACAAATTTATTTCATACAACTACTCTTTACATTGACATTGATTTTTACAAAAGTGTATTTTGCGTGACAAAAATGGTGGCCATTTTGAAAATAGCCAAGCTTTTGAACCAGGGGCATATGGGAGTTTTCTGTATTGATGTTGAACAGAAATAACCAAAAGGAATCCTGTTGACAGAGGCTTTAAAATGTGCCACTATTGTTGACGGACGGACGGACGCACGGACGGACAGACGGACAAGTGAGTGATTGCAAAAGCTCACCATGTGAGCTAAAAAAGGTCAAATTTCAAAATTTTTCAAGACCACATTTCAACTTACTTCTACATTTCAACTTTTTTTAAAATCATTTACAAGTGCATATTTGTGAAATGAGGAAAACTATTTTTACATATATGAACATTCCATATCTCCCTTTACAGACACATGGTAGCTATTTAGCATATACCACTGGCCTTGACATGGACTTGGATCGCAGAAAAATGCCTTCATTTTATAAATTAGCCCTTCCTTAATTAGCCGAGGTCATATAGCAACTTTTTACACTTTCCATGTTCCAGGTGCAACCATTTTGATTCTTACCCAAAATATGCCATCTCTTAGAATTCCTATTTAACATGTATTCCAGGTTTTCAAATTGGGTGCCTCGAATTTGAAAAGTGGGACACTTTTTTCATCCAGGAAGCCATCATATTTATCCATAAGATTTGCAAAAACCATGCCTTACATTTCAATTTTAATGATTTTCATATGGTCCATTTCAGTTTTTTTTCCTTTGAGATCATGTAGATACGTATATGTTTCTATTTAATGTTGGAAAGTCAAATGTCACAATATTTCTTGCTCCATTTCTCATATTAACTTTTTGCTTCTTTAATACATTCTTGGGCATCCTGGTTGTTTTGACAAATCCTCATCCTGTTGGTTCCAGTTAGATTTTTAATTATTTTACAGTATTTTTGTCAGTCAGCCCTTATTTGTCAGTTTTCTTAGCTGCTCTTTCAATCAACATTTCTTTTAACCAATGGTGTACCTAAATTCAATATGATTTTTGTGCATCTTTAATGTAAGGTGTATGTTTGAAAATTCCAGTTTACCCAACCCCCATACACAGCGCCTGGGTCTCAGGCTGAAAAACAGAATGTATGTGAAACAGAAATACTGTATGTTTTGAATAAAAAACTAAATTTCACTTGCCATTATTAAAACGGCGGCCATCTTAGTAACAGATGGACTGACTGATGGATGTAGGGCTTCACTATATCCCTACTGAACTTTGTTTGCTGGGTTAATAACCAACCACCACAGAATAAAGAAATAGTAAACATTGATTTCACTTGCATTGATATTTTTTATTTTTGCCTGGTTGAGTATCATTGTATTCATAGTTGAAATGATTTCCACTGAATATCATGTACATTCCATTTAAACATGGGCCTTCAACTAGAATTGAAAGCCCATGATTTAAATCACTCTGCTCACATTGAACAGTAATTTCTAATTGTATCCCTGTTCACAAGGTATTCCCTGCTAAAATCTATTCCAGAAAAATGGAAATGAAAGTCTGGAATACATAGGTATGAACACTTTCATACCACTGTCATGGTATGTGAAGCATTTCTATTCTGTAAATACCCATAGTCTGTTTTTGTGGTAAACTAGATTTTTTCTTCAGTTGTGACAGTACTCCTTCTAAACTTTGCAAGTCATCCCAGAACTGCATCTGTAAAATGAAATGAACAATATCTCATATAGTATTTATATATTGTATATCATTTATTTACATATAAGGTATATTCCTTACTAGACTATTTTTTCTAAAATGGTAGCTACATGTATAACCATTTATACCATGATCAGAGCAATATCAGGTTTATAACACCAAGTGTTACAAAATTACATATTTGGGATAGGGATTGATATCAGGGATGATGTTAGAATTAGCAGGATGATATCAGGTTTGATATCGATTTCATCCCGCTAAATCTGAAATCTGAAGCCTGGGGAAACTTCATTTTGTTAAATTCAAATTCCTGCATCTACTAAATTATTAATATCCAAAAGACATTTTTATGTTTTGACAGTTATAATATGAATTCGAACATGACTGTATTCCCGCCTTCTATAAACTGTAAACAAAGTCAACATTTCACCTGGGATATTACGATCAATACCCCTGTTAATACATGTTAGAGATGACTCCCTTTGAACCAATGATATTCCACTGCAAAGAGGATTATTTGGCTTTTTGGTACATTGAATGAAAAGTATGCAGTCAGCATTGGTTTTATGTTTTCTTCCAATATTGCATCGGGCTCCGTACATTGACTTTTGCGATGTTTATAACTTGGTCCCAAGCTAATATCAGAAAAAATTATGAATATATTACGAAAAAATTATCAAAAAGTAGGTTCACAATTAACTTTTCCCCTTTACAGTTTAAATCATGTCTAAAACTTCAATACAACTTTGCACTAAAAATTATTAAAAAGGCCTGCATTTTTGTTGAAAATTGTGTCAGAATTAGGGAAAATTGGTGAGGATGGGTGGATTAGGGACAGCTTAAGAGATAATCCAATCAACTTGATTATCATCCTAATGTCATTTATTGAAGATAAGACATGGATCTAACAGAACCATTTCTTTTTGTGGTTTAAGTATTCTTCGAAATAAAGATATAGCCCTTCGAAAATGCTTGCCATATCTTACCTGTTTTTTTAAAATCTCTCTTAATTTTCTCCGGTTGTTTCTTAATTTCACATTCTTTAAAACCACTTTTCCTAAAGATGTACTCGTAAAAAAGTGTATTAAGACGGTTTAGGAAATCTTCCGGTAATATGAACGCCTATATCCAAATTGTGACATCATTAATGATTTAACCAATGTCACTTTTCCAAAAATTGTTAAATTCCTTCGTACCCAACTTTTCATAATGTTTTCAATTTTATCTAATTTTGGTAATAGATTATCCATATTTTCAATCACTTTTTTTGATGCAGAAAATACTATTCCTTAAATTTTAATTTTATTCTCTGGATGCAATTTCCATTTTATATCAACCCTTTTTTCTTGTGAATGTTTCATTGTTCCAAGCCACATTGCCTCTGTCTTATTTTTATTTATACTAAGCCCAGAGAATATTCTAAACTCATTAATTGTATCTATCACCTTGACTAATGAATCTTTGTCTTTTAAGAAATGTGTTAAATCATCTGCATCCATAGCAATTTTTAATTCTGACTTATTTGGTAACTTAATTCCCTTGATTTCATTATTTTGTCTTATCTTTGAGGCAACCAGCTCAACACATAACAAAAAACATAGTGGTGACAAAGGGCACCCCTGTCTTATGCCTGAATCCAAAGAAATCCATTCTGACAACCACCCTGCATAGTTTATGCAACTTTTGGTTTCTTAACAGTTTCAACCCATGAAATCATATCCTCACCAAATCCGAAATATCTTTAACTGTCTATTAGTAAGTCCTTATTTATATTATTATACGTACCCGAAGAATCTACTGCCACTAATAAACCACTTTCATTAATGTTTTCAATATATTCTATTGTATCATCAACTATTTGTAATATGTTTGCAGCTGATCGCCCAGGAATATAACCACTTTGGTCTGAGTTAATTCATGTAATTACTTTACATATAACTAGTTTCATCCTTTTGGCCAAAGCTTTTGTTAAAGGCCCCATGTAAAGTTTAAACCACTTTGGCTTATATTGTAGTCTTACCCAATGTTAGCAAAGTGTGATATGTGAAACTTTTTTTTTTAATTTCAAAACGTGGTTTTTGATAGACTTTTTGTTCCAAAATTTGTGAATTTATTTAAAACCAACTTTTAGAGGTCACTCATATCTTTTAATTAGCCACAATTCATACCAATGCATAGCATTCATCCTCCCATGTTTTTTGCCGAAAAAATTAAGAAAATCGGTTGATAAACAAGCGAGAAATGAACTTATCAGTGCATGAAAATGGTTCTGAGAAAAATGCATTTCAAAATTTTAGTTCTCATAGAAACCAATGGTACAATGATATCTAAAACATAATTTATTCTTCCTTTTAACCTGGTTAGACAATCAACATTGTTTTTTTATGAAAGTCTAGCATATTTAGAAAAGATTGACATCGAAAAAAAAATTCAATTTTTTTCAAAAAGTTTTTGTTACCTTAGTGACATCACTAATGTTTCAAAATATTTTTGATGAGCTAAAACATTGAAGTGGCCCATTAAATATGACATTTTATTATTGAAATAGTGTGTCTTATGTTCAATCTTTGCATTGGTGTTAAAAAGATAATCTTTTTTGAAATGCATTAAGAAATATTTGATGATTAAGAAATTTCAACTTTTTTTGAAAAATGGCGGGAAATTTGAATATTTGAGAAATGAAATGCTCACAACTTTTTTCTAAAAAAGTTTTTTTTTCCATAAATCTCTAAAATCACTTTTTAAGTCCTGACAAATGGTAAATGAATGATAAAAAAATATTTTCAAATTTTAGATGGCGACTTTAATATTTTATAGTCTGTATTTGTTAACGATATTGGTCTCCAATTATCTAACACTTCCCTCTCTCCTTTCGTTTATATAATACCGTAATTATGCCCTGTCTTTGAGTGGGACTTAGTGTTTTTTTCCAAATGCGATGTTGAAATTTTCAGTTACCAATGCCCCTAGTTTTCTCCAAAAACATTTGTAAAAACCTGTGGTTAACCCATCACTACCCAGTGAAACATCATTTTTCATATCTTTTAATGCCTTAGAACATTCATCCAATGTAATTTTCCCTTCACATTTTTGTGCTTCTTCTTTAGCCAAATTTGGAATATCTATGTCAAGAAATCTGTCCAAGTCAGTTTTATTAAACTTTGGTTTAGCCTGATAAACCTTATTAAAATATTGCACTTGTTCTTTCATTATTTCATTTAATTTTGTCACAACTTTCCCATCATGCCTTCTACACCCATTCATTATCTTTTTCTTGCCTTTACATTTTTCTAGATTTAAGAAATATTAAGTACTTCTCTCTCCCTCCTGTGCATAAATAGCTTTTGATCTTAATTCAGCCCCCCTACCCTACATTCTTCATCCATTAAATTGTTATTCATAACCTTGCATCTATTGACCTCATCCATTAGCATGGTACTTGTGTGCAATGCTTATAGTACCAAATATATACATACCAAATATGAACAAAATCGCTCCACTACTTTTTTGAGTTACAACAAAAATCGTAAAATAGCGTGTAAAGGCTGCCATCTTTCAAGATGGCTGCCATGTGTTTCTTCAATATCTACATTTCTAGCTTTGTCATAGCCTTGCCCAAGTCGGTCTCTTTTACTTGTCTTGATTTCTATTATGACCGCCTTGTACCAAAGAGAAAGCCACGTGCTTTACCGACAGTTTGTTGATGTAGTAAATCGGTAAAATTTGACCAATCAACGACGGCCTTGTAGCGTTAGCTCATTATTATGCAAGGTCAAAAACAAGTACACTTTTCACCGGGACTTTTCATGAACAAATCTTGCAAGAATATGAGCACGAATTCATCATGAAAATACAAATATTTTATCAGATAAATATCAATGAGAGTTTAGTTGATGCCGGGGCATCGATCGGATAATCAAAGGTGAGAAGATTTCAACAATACAAACGTTGAAACGATCGCTGAACATGTAGGCTGAGATTCAATCACCGATCGACGACAACATGACCCGCTACATTGGACTAGGTCTTCATGCATTTTCATCGCGAAATCAGTTTTAAATCAACATTGAATCGCATGATTTAATTTATATTAATGACTCTTACCTTCCGATGTACATTTAATTACAGAATATATTGTAACTCTAAAGAAACACTCGATCAGATCATTGAATTTCAAGTCGTAGGTGGGAAGTTTGTTTGTTTATGCAGCTCAACCCGATAACGTTTTGATTGGTCATTCAGCCTGAAGACACACGTCGTGTCCACGCGATATCTGTCAATCAATAAGGTTTCGCGATACCCCTGATAGCGTAGGTATTATGGAAATCTCGAAACCGTTGAATATTTCAGCATAATAACAGCGGAGATGTATTGGATTGTACAAGGCGGTAATAATTCAAGATCAGATAAGTAAAAATACCGACTTGGGCAAGGCTAGCTTTGTCAATGAGCTATATATTTTTTTATTACAGTTTTACACATTGTACCTAAATTACTGTATATATGACTGATAATGTTGAAATGTATGTTTTTTGCAACTTTTTCATCTGAATTTATAAATAATGATGTTTTATTGAGCAGAGGACTTCCTGTCCTTAGTCTTAGCAAATAAAATCGGTTGCCAAAAAATGTCAGGGGGCTTACTCTAATTCTTTTGGAAGACCTGATCTCTTAAAGTCATCAAAGATCAAATTTTTCTCAAAAAAGTCAGCCACTTTGAATGAAGTGGCCATATTATTATTTACAAAAATTACATCTTATTTCATGAAAATGTAGACATCTGCCATTTTGCATTGAGCAGTCTTATTGAAAATTCCTTCTTGAGCAGAGGTCCTATGGCCATAAGGCATCGAATTTTAATCTTTCAATAAGTATTTGAGTTATCGCCCAGACAGACAAACCAAAGATGGAAGGACAAATGCATGCTTTTCTATATCTGTGCGAAACTTCATTTGGTAAAATAATAAGAAACTAAAATTAACAGTACCTGTTCCTGTGAGATGGAATGTAGGTCTGCCAATATATTCCTGGCATCACTAGAAATGACAAACTGAGTAAAGTGGGCATCTAGAACTATGCACATCCATTGTACAACCTGCAAAAACAAAATAAGTTATATAAAGGGTCTAGTGCAATTTCTATTATGATTACCCCATGAACAAAATGAATCATCTTTAGGTGTAACATAAAGAATACAATGTCACATAATACTTAGGAAAATATTTAAGCGTTTTGACCAACATGGGCTGAGGTTGAGGTCGTTAAGTTCAGCAAGGGTGTATTGACTTGACATTGGATGTGCTCCATTGACTTAACATGGGGATATCATCAGATTCCAATGGAGGCCATTGGTTTCTATTGATTTTCACAAAAAAATACCTAAAATACACTATGACCTGAATCGATTGCAAATTAAATGATTTCACAATATGACACAAATGGTATATCACATCAGATGAGCAAATATAAAGTTTGCAATCAATTCAGGTCATACTTCAAATTAAAAGATAATACATTTTTTCATCATTTTTTCCCCTACAAAATGGCTACAGAAAAATGCTTCAAAAGCAACTTATACACTAATGAAATCCCATACAAATTTGTAAATCCAAAGATTATACTGTTAAGTTTCATTAATTAATAACATATTTGGATAAGATGTAGGGATGTGTAGGATGCAAATGGATTTTGACAGACACAAAAAGACTTCCTGGTTTGGCATCTCTACCCCTGTACACTTTATGATTGAATATTGGCGCTAATAAGTGGCCCATTCATCGATACAGTCCTGAATATAGGTCAACAAGATACTAGTGTACACATAAATGTAATAATAACAAAAAGCAGTATATTTATTTTGAAAAATCAGATAAATTTATTTTTGTTCATGGGGAGATTAAAATGGAGGGTGCACTAGATCCTTTTGTTTTCTAAATCTTAGCCTACATTCAAGAAACTTACTGATGGCAATTTCACGGTCTCCGATACTACCCAACGTAAATCGTTCCGGACTTGTTTTTCATAACCATTTGTACATTTAAATGAGTAGCAATTGTCGAAAGAATATTTTTTAGATTTAACCATTTGGACGTGACCTAAATATTCCAGTTAATGATGTTGACTTGTTATTGGAACGTTTCTGACTTGTGTTATTGGAACGTTTCTGACTTGTGGAACACAATGAACCATTTTTAAGTGTGGAACAGCTCCACAAACTTTATAGATTTCCAACAAATCATCAGAGTGGATGAGGACAGTGGAAGAAGTTGTCTGAGTGATACTATCTAAATGATCATCATTAATTAAACGTATTAAGAGATACTTGTCAAGGTTGAATTAGGGAATCATTACAGATACGTGTTCTTTACTTGATACTTTCAAGGGGCAAGAATGCATGTAGAGAGAAAAGTTGATTTTTTACTTTTTCTTGTGTTTTGCCTCTTCGCTATTTTAAAGACTTCACTCGTCGCTATTTATAATTTGCCTATGAAAAATGTGAGCATAAGTTTGCCTCAAATAAGACTTTATTTCAAGGGGCAAGAATGCATGTAGAGAGAAAAGTTGATTTTTTACTTTTTCTTGTGTTTTGCCTCTTCGCTATTTTAAAGACTTCACTCGTCGCTATTTATAATTTGCCTATGAAAAATGTGAGCATAAGTTTGCCTCAAATAAGACTTTAAAACACCCTTATTGGCTTTAAACTGACTTCCATGCTTATATTAATGCTAAGCAAGAAGTTTGTGAAAGTTGAGAAGAAATAATCAGTTTTAATCGTTATTTACTGCTAAAAATCTACTGGTTTGCCCCTAGATTATTAACAATTTGATTCATTATTATTTGTTATAATTTCATAATTTGCCTCACAGTATGCAGGTTTTTGCCTCAGATTCTTCTTTAGACTTTCTCCTTAACTCACCTGTCACCTGTTTTAAATGGCCTAAACTATATAGGTTTTGACTCGGGTTCTCGTGTTTTGACTCTTTTAAATACGAGAGGGTGTCGCCTAGACTATATCCTATTTAGTCTGAATTATATTCAGACTATAAGGCACCTATGTTAAAGTTTGGTAATATGAAATATTTGTTTACATAGGAAGTCCTATTCAAAATGGCTGATTGGTAAAATTAATTTGCACATTTGTTACTTCAACTAGCTTCATTTCCACTTGACAATATGCTGTGTTACTTTTTATTGCATTTAATTGACCTTACTATTTAATTGAAAATTTGTAATGTTTATTTTATTGAAGAAATGGTTCCTCTAATTGATAATTTTGTGCAAAAAATTTCACTGCAATTTCCACAGGAAAGTAGTACATCATAACAGACTGACTTCTAGTCAGTCTGTTGGATACATACTAGGGTGTCGCCTAAGGCAGGATTTACTGTAAACTTACAATAACTAGAAAAACAGCAACTCCACGGAGTAGCAAATCCCACCGAACAAAACATATTATGCTTATTATAGCTAGTGTAAATGTTGAAATGTTTGTGCACTTTGTGATAGAAGCATGAAATTTGGCACAAAGTTAGTTTATACCATTGTGAACTAGGCATCATCATATAAAATTTGAACCAAATCCGTTCACTGGTCTCTGAGTTATCAAAGATTACGTTTTTTACCAATGTGGGCCGCCATCTTGAAATTCAGCCGCCATCTTGAAAATTATTTCTTGAACAGAGCTACTGTGTCCCTAGGCATAATCATATAAAATTTCAACCAAATCTGTTCACTGGTATTTGAGTTATCAAAGATTACGTTTTTTACGAAAAATTGCCGCCATTTTGAAATTAAGCGGCCATCTTGAAAATGTTTTGTCAAACATAGCTACTGTGTCCCTAAGCATCATCATATAAAATTTGAACCAAATCCGTTCACTGGTATTTGAGTTATCAAAGATTACATATTTTTACGAAAAATGGCCGCCATTTTGAAATTAAGTGGCCATCTTGAAAATCTCTTTTTGTGCGAAACTCCTTTGTCCCTAGGCATCAGCATATAAAATTTGAACCAAATCTGTCAACTTGTATTTGAGTTATCAACGATTACATTTTTTACGAAAAATGGCGGCCATTTTGAATTGAGCGGCCATATTGAAAATTCCTTCTCGAGTAGAGGTCCGACACTCATAAGGCATAAGCCTATAAAATTTGAATCAAATCCGTGAAACGGTATTTGAGTTATCACCCGGACAAACAGACGGACGGACAGACGGACAGACAGACGGACGGATTGACGGACGAACGGACGGACGGACGGCTTTCCTATATCCCTCTCGAACTTCGTTTGGTCGGATAATAATAATTTTAGTCCGAAATGTATTTTGAAAAGAATATGCAGAAACATCATTGATCGCCGAAATACGATCTATGCCCGCACATACATGGATTCCATCATCTTTTTCATTTGACACATGGCCTTGAACGGTACTAACGTTATTAGCTATAGCGAGTTTAATTTCATCATATGGCTTTGAGCCTAATTTATCACACATCCGGAATCCATAATCCTGTGTTTTGTAACGCCATATGCCTTTATCACGAAAAGGGACGTCAAGCCTGAATAAATCGGAGGGATGGTCCCTCTTGAAGTGTTCAAAGAATATATTTTTATCTGCACTTTTAAAAGTGCATTTGTGGCACTTGTTTCTGGGAACGTATAAATACCATTAGAAGACAATTCCCAACCGTTATTTTTATCACTTTGTGTACAATTCGCAGTCGTTCACCTAGTGATTATAAGACAAGTCCGTGTCATAATAAGGACCATTCGCCATTAACTCAACTTTTAACATTACGGTCATTTATGGAAATTTGAGGGTACAGATAGTTAAAATATTAACACGATCTTTAATGTAGTGAATATTGTTCCACGTTATAAAATGATTTTTTGGTTTAAACATAGTTAAATAACACTAATGCAGATTAAGAGCATATTTCTGGCATTTTTGTTATTTAATGCCGATAAATATGTACTTTGATGGCACGATCGCCAAAATAGATATGTGGGAATGAAAAAGAATGTTTTAGGTAGAAGTTAGTATATGTATTTTTCTAAACGATTGAATTATATTCCCTTTTTAGCCATTCTGATGGATGTTTCATCTCATTCTCCTACGAAATGAGTCCAAATGGTTATGAAAAACAAGTCCGGAAGGATTTACGTTGGGTAGTATCGGAGACTTCGAATTTTACAGAATAGTAAAATACGTTTTCTTCATTTCGAAGATATTAGGTATGTTTATCATACATTATATACAAGCTTAGACTGGACTCACAACTCTTACCTGGAGCATGGAGGGGGCAGCTGTGTTGTGTCTTTGAGTAGTTGCCATCTCAGCAGATAGACTCCCAAGCAAATAGTGCATATGTTTCAAGATAAGCTAAAATGGTAAAAAATACATTTCATTATTTTATTTCGTCAGTAAAACCTAAAAAAAGAAATAAAAAGATCATTGTGCAATAATGTATGGGAAAATATATTCCTATTGTACATAAATGACATTTGTATATCTTGGATTGCTTCTTGTTTGGCTAATAAAGTATGTGGGCTCTTATATTTGATGCTTCTCTGCCATAGTATTTTCAAAAAGATGAATGCTCAAAAACTTAGTCAGTTTGAGATTTTCATAAGAAGAATCATCCCTGAAAATTTGAAATTGATCTACCTGAAAACGCTTAGACAAAACTTTACAGAAAAGATTTTAGGACTGAAAAATCCAAAATGGCCGACAATAAAAAAGTGATTATGAGTTTTTTTATGAGCTGATTTCATTTAACAAAATTATCACTAATATAACTAGAAATGGGAACTCCACGGAGTGGCAAATCCCAATGAACACTAAATATAAATTATGAATCTGTACAGTCACAATATAATAATAACCATCTACTCTTCCCTTCAATAGATATTTGAGATCATTGTAGTGTCATGTTACCATACTTTCAAGATAACTCTAAGTAATAGCGAATACCTGCTCTAGGCAGCCATTTTGAATTTTCTGTGGCACAAATCAGAAAAACAATACCATAATTGTGATCTTCTCTGAAATTCCTTCAATTTGAGTATAATATAGCAATACTTAGAGATCAAAAAATAGGACCCATGGTACTGTGCTCACACAGTTTGGAACCTTCAGAGGAATGTTTATCCTGACTTTCAAACAAAAATATTGATTTGGATTTGTAGTCTCGAACTTTGAGAAACCTAGACAGCACAGTTGTGTGACCTAGTTTGATGACCTTTAACCTTTAAAATTTTGCTTATTTAGAGCTCAGTAAGGTATTTTGTGATTAAGCTGGCCAAAATTTACATCCAAAAATCAATTTGAAAAATCAACTTTTTTGTCACTGAAGGTCAAGTAAAGGTCAAATCCTAAAACTTATGTCAGATTTGAACTTCTGGTAACTTGTAGATGATTTTCAAAAAAAAAATTGGTCAAATTGGAGCAAGTTGAAAAACGGTAAAAATTTGATGCTGACATATATTGAACAATATGTAGGGAATGCTTAAATCTAGTTATGATGTAATTCATTGCCAGAAATAATCAAGTATAAGGCAAACTTTGAGAAACTTGTCAATCACAAAACCTGCCATTGACTTTATACATGAGAAAGTTTCCTTAAATTGACAGTCCTACTTTTTGTCAAATTTTATAGAGTAAACACCAAAAACTGTAATTCCAAGTGCTTTGAAATCTTCAGAGCACATAAGTTGCATATATACAGCAACTACTACAAGTTATTTGAAAGTTCTACTTCAACAAAGTGTCTAGTATTTACAGAAAATTTGACTTTTTGACGTCAAAATCAGCAATTTCTCGGAAACGGGGCAAACTTGGGAAATGGCGATGATAGGTCAAATAGGCATTATGGATATGCATAAAATGACTGTTGATATGATTCAATCCAAATAGCAGTTTTAATTTGTGCAGCCAATGTTGACGGACGGACAGACGGACGGACAGACGGACGGACGGACGGACAGACGGACGGACGGACCAACGGACAGACGGACGCCTGGTCGATCCCATAGGCTCACTGTGTGAGCCAATGAAAAACATGAGACTTTTGCAAAAAATTCCCGCCATTTTAATACTGGCGGCCATCTTGGAAAAGTTTTATTTGTGTGAAGTATTCAAGTTATCTTCCGGACAGACGGACGGACTGACTGACTGACGGACAGACGGACGGAGGGCTTCACTATATTCCCACTAAACTTCGTTCGTTGGGATAACTACTGTTAACAATAACATAGGCTTTTACAACAAAGTACACGTGAAACTATTTGATTGCCGGACGTACGGACGGATGGACAGACAGACGGATGGACGGGCCTAGGCTGACAATATGGTCCCACACTAAAATATTTGTGAATATGTGAGGAATATCAAAGAATAAAGATAATGAGGTAGGAAGTAATTAGTTTAAATTGTTTGGAATATCACACAATGCATTAATGCAATAAAAGGATTGGTATCGATATGGAGAACTGAATTCAACAATGTTTTTCTCTTAAACCAATCATTGATAACATTCTGTAAAAACACAGTATTTTATGTAATGTTGACTAATTTACAAAAATTTAATGCGAAAATTATACAGAAATATTTTATAATTTTATAACTGTTTTTGTTAAGATTTTTTGTTTTTTTTAGTGTAATTGTTTTTGCTCCTTTCTACCAATTCTTGAGAATGAAATAAAATGTCTTTCCGAACCTTGTTGAAACAAAATAGCATATATGACATGTTTTTAGACCTATATAGTTACACAAAGGAATTTTTGGTTGATTTTAAAAAAGTATTCAAAAAATTAAAACAAAATCCCCCTAAAATAGATACAAATCAAGATAAACCTTTTATTTCATTAACAAGATACTTTTTTAAAATCAACCAAAATTTCCTTAATATTGAGAGACATGTTGTGTTTATGTCATTTTGTTCCAATGAGGTTAGGAAAGATGTTTCATTTCACTCTGGAAACATGATACCAAGAACAAAACAAGTGTTTTATATGTTCTCTAAAACAATATAGATGAAAGTATATACTTTTTCAAATTATATTGTTACCATTCAAAAGATGACCATTAAATTGACACTGTGTAAATTTTTTAGAATTTTTTGATGACTGGTTTAAGAGAAACGTGTGTTCAAAAAGTTCGCCATATCAATACCCATCCTTTCACCAATTGAATATTGTCAAAACTTAATAATTTTTGCCACCACTTCTTGAGAGAGAAATTTACAAAAATAATCAAAACTTACCAATGCCTCTGAGTACTCCAATTTTCGCATACTTTCCAGCAGAAAGATATCATTAAATGGTAACTTGATGATATGATTGCTGATTTACTATTAAGGAATACTCATACATATATGTTTGCATACGAGAGATGAGGACTAAGTACACAAATCATCACGATAGAAAGTCTGAACTTAATCCATCAACTGGTATTTAAGTTATCAAAGGTCATATTTTAAATAAAAATGATGGTCATTTCAATGAGGGCACAATGAGTGCTTATCTTGAAAATGCCTACTTTAACAGGTCCTTTGCTAATAAGACATTAGCCTAAAAAGGTTGAACCAAATTCTATAAACAGTATTATCAAAAAGTGATCCAAAAGTCTTGGGACACCCTGCACTAATTTTGTTGGCTTTTGTAAAATTACTTGAAACTTTCCAATAATAAAGACCAACAAACTAACTACTTTGTGTATTGATTTCATGGAGAAATGATTGATTTTATGTATTTTTCTAGATAGTTTTTAATATAGGGATCCTGCCACCTGGAATGGTATTTGTACATGGCAACTTTCAGCCTTTTATGTCATTTCTGAATAGTTGATGGCTTGAGCATTCAGAAAATATGAGTTTCATGAGCTTTCTGATGCTCTATAGGATTCTTTATCAATTAACACACGGACAGTCACATTTTTCAAAGAAAATCTGAAACTTTTTATTGGTTTTGATCATTTAAGGGTTAATGTTGCCACCATTTGACTTGTTTCGTTAGACCACTATCTTTCTATGAAATTTGAATGTTAAACCATGTTAGTTTACTTCCTTTGTTATCAGGCGATCAATTAGTTGTGTTTTAATCATGGAATCACATATGACAATGGCCGTATATGTCAAATTCTAAGAAAATGACATCAGACAAGCAAGCCTCATTCTTGTATCATTTGTGCGCCAAGATGGCTGCTGAAATGCAGAACATGAGAGAAATCAAAGCGAAACAAAGAATACTTGAAGAACATTTTTTAAAACGCATGTATTATGGATACACCACACTGATATCATACCCTGACATGTGAAACTGATGTAAAGTAGTTTTGTAATATGTAGTTGTAGTTTGAAGTTTTTTGTACACTGAAGTGACTGATATGTCATTTACATGACATGGTTATTGAGACAATAAAAGATATCAATTGATGGCCCTGTCTGAAATTTTCCTTTTCCCCAAGTTGAAAGCAGGGTTGCAAGATTGTTGTTGTTGGGTTGTGTACCTGCACCTAATAACAGTTGTGACATGATTTGTATTTTGAAATACAGTTCTAGGTGGGAGCGCCCCCATATTAGGAAATATCTAGAAAAGTACCTAAAATGAATTATTTTCTGGTGAAACATATACACAATGTCGTTAAGATGTTGATCTTTATGATCTGAAAGTTCCATGTAATTTCATTAAGAAATAGCAAAGTTAGAGTAGAGCATCCAAGACTTTTGGATCACCCCTCATAGGTATAAATTTGCACCATTATTTGAGTTATCACCATGGACACATGGACAAACAAAAGAATAGATAGATGGACAATTTTCAATATCCTTACTCAAACTATGTTTGGTGGAATCATATGCAAATATTAAATTTTATACAGAGTAATACCTGTTCCCTGCAAGAATCATTAAAAGTTCAATAGCTATAACACGATCATATGCAGATAAAAACAAAGCATTAACATGACAAAATGTTACCACCTAGTTGCTCACAATATTATGAGTTCAATCTTAAGTCAGATTTGAATTTCTGAGAACTTGTAGATGATTTTGAAAAATAAATTGGTCAATTTGAAGCACCTTTTTTGACCCTGGGAAGGTCATTGGAGGTGAAATCTAAAGTCAGATTTGAACTTCTGAGAACCTCTAGATTTCAATTTTCAATTCAATTTATTTATTTCATAATTCTTATATAATATACACTATAAAAACAAGCCCCTAGACACCCTAGTGGGTATATGTTGCGGTTTAACAGAAATTCATAAAATGACATCTAGACTACGTATAAAATAAAGCACTTATATCATGTTACATGTAGGCATATATAAATGGTATTTACAATTAATTTTTAGGAGGTTGTCTGAAAAAATGATGATGGTAAAACACAGCTGGCTTTTGAGCTGAGATTAAGTTCAAATATACTGTTTTGTGTTGTGGTTAATCTCCAACTTCAAGCCGGCGTGCTGGTATAAGTAACAGTATTTAGGAAAATAATTGAATGTAACTTGCCTTTTTCATGACGCATGGTGACAATCAGTCCCATTTGTTGTGTAATTTGCAGTTAAATGTGGAGAAATGTCAAATCTCACATGCACCATTTTTATTTTTTTGCCTCAATTGCCTTTTTCTTAATAGCTGCGAAAACTAGAAAAAAAATTAGATTTTATAGCTTTTGTTCATATTACGACAAAAACATAAGCAAAATGCATGAAAAAACTCCCCCTATTCATTTTACAAACAACTTCCCCTCATTTACAAAAAAGTTAAGATATTTATTATTAAAAATACAAAACCGTATTAAATGGATTCAACAACCGCACAATGCATACTTTGACACCATTTGTAGCACGAATAGAAGTAAAAATACCATCTTTGTTGTATTTCTGGCAGCCATTTTGAAAAAGGTGTATATTTTGAATACGAAGTGGTAGTCCTTGATTTTCAAGACTCGAAACCTTATTAAACAGATTCTTCACCAACAAAGATGTAGATTTATGTACCAATCTTATCATTATAGCATGCATAGAAGCAAAAATACAGTCTCTGTTGTATTTTTTGTGGCCATTTTGAAAAATGTGTTTATTTTCAATGTAAAGAGTCATCTAGCTTGTGTCTTTGGATAAAATTGTTTCTATTACACTAGGATACTTCCATGCCAAAGAGGACATTTGCATCATAAAGCGAACTCCAAATGTAGTTAACCCACTAACTATAAATATTAATTATCAACTGAACATTCAATGAATCAACAAAATGATTAATCATGTATTTGCATCACTAATGCCTTAAGCCTTAAGAATGCCTCGAGAAGTTCATTGAAAGTCAAATCTTATTTGATCTTGAGAATGTCATTGAATGTCAAATCTATAGTCAGATTTGAACTTCTGAGAACTTGTAGATGATTTTGAAAAAAGAATTGGTCAATTTCAAGCAAGTTGAAAAAGACCTTTTTGACCTTGAGAAGGTCATAGAAGGTAAAATCTCAAATCTAAAGTCAGATTTGAACTTCTGATAACTCATAGATGATTTTGAAAAAAGATTGGTTACTTTGAAGCAAGCTGAAAAAACCTTTTTGACCTTGAAAAGGTCATTGAAGGTCAAATCTTTTTTGACCTCGAGAATGTCATTGAATGTCAAAACTATAGTCAGATTTGAACTTTTGAGAACTTGTAGATGATTTTGAAAAAAATTGGTCAATTTGAAAATTACATTTTGACCTTTTTTACCTTGAGAAGGTCATTGAAGGTCAAATCTCAAATCTAAAGTCAGATTTGAACTTCTGATAACTGTAGATGATTTTGAAAAAAAAGATTTGTCAATTTGATGCAAGTTGGAAAAATACCTTTTTGACCTTTTTTTACCTTGAATAGGTCATTGAAGGTCAAATCTCAAATATAAAGTCAGATTTGAACTTTTGAAAACTTGTAGAAGATTTTGAAAAAAATTTTAGTCCGTCTAAACAGCATTTGTTAAGTTATTGGAAGTTGTAAGAATTTGTTACAGACGCCAAACGCCAACCACCAACTGCCAACCATCGTCAAAAAAAGGAGACCATAACAATATGTCACCACTATTTGGTGGTGACATAATAGGTTTGACAGTGAAATTCCCCTGATGAATACAAAAATATCGTCACAGTTTGACTACTGACTTTGAAGAGACTTTTTATGAAAATAGCATCTAAAAATTCTGAGATAGGAATTTATTTATGATGTTTAATGACTTTTTAATTGATAATAGTGGCATATAACAACTATACATCCAGTCTTTTATGTACTGAGTTTGTCCTTTTACTGTTTTTAATGATTTCCTACCATATATAGTATGAACTTTGGTGTTAACAGCGATATTAATTTCAAATTAAAAAATAAATTTCCATTTCCAATTTTGCTCAGTAACTCCGTTCACAACTTCCGGTTTATGTTTTCATGATTTTTTCAATCAGTTTTCACTTGTTTAACTTGAATTCTGAGGTATTACCTTTAGACACTAATACACAGAAGTGTAATAAGATAATTCCACAATAATATTTTTTTAATTCACAATTTCATGTCATGGTTTCATACTAGTTGCCTCATTCTCTCTTTTCATGATTTTTGTCAAAAGTCAAAATCGGTGTTTAAACCTCATTCTTTTCAAGGTATGTGCGTATGTAAGTACGAAATAAATGAAACAAATGTTAAACAATCTTAAATCCTACATTGACAGTCTATTTGATGCGAAATAGCGATAACTGACAAGATTTTTGTGCTGGTGTGCTCTAATCTTTAAATTTTACTTTCCATTTTTCTTTTTTCTCACAGTCAAATTTGATCCCAGATCTCTGTTGATGTGACGTCACTCATTAATTATGCACAGATGCGCAGTACAATAAAGAAGGCAATACTGCGACTTATGCAATTCTGAGCCAGAGTGGAGGTCTCCATATTGAAATGAATATGTTTGCTTATGCATCAATCGATCGCATATGTAACCCAGTCGATCTTTCTAATTAAACACTTAAATAATATTGGAATGGATCACACTTATTTTGAGAGCTTATTAGCCCTTTAAATAATACTGAAAATTGAAATTGAATATATAAGTAAGTAGGTTCAGTCTTTTTTTAGAAAGGATACATTGCAATGGCTTTGCTTTCTTCAAAGGGGCAAGATAAATCAGTAGCAGCAAGTTCAGTTATCTTCTCATATTCCTTCAGCTTACCTTTATCACCTTTGAAGTCAGAATCCTGCTTTCTGTGGATAAATATAAAACAAGTAGATAAATAAATACAACACTTTGAAGAGAAAAGTGGCCACCATGTAATTTATTCTGAGCCAGCCCAAAGCCTTATACGGTCTTGGCACTTAAGTCTATTGCAAAACAATGATGTCGTAACTTTTTTTATTTTTTCATGGTTTTTAATGAAATTCGCAGGGATTATAGTTTCAACATAGTCAATATGGCATTACGAAAATGGGTCTTCTGCGCATGTTAGAATTTTTCTTCAAAACTCAACTTTTGTTCAAGTTGATACGATTGTCTTTCGAATTAGAGAATTGCCTCATTCAAAAGATCTCCAAATACTTTATCTATACTAAAAATCTAAGATCCCAGAATGGTCGAATACGCCGTCAGTCCGCTTTTGATTTTTTGAAGTGAGCTTCTGTTGATCGGCAGATTTCTCTAACTGTTATTGTGTGTTCCCAATTTGGTTTGATTAAAAATACGAATTTCTGCACTCTTATAAAATTCATTAGAGGTTGAAGCAGGAAGATACAAAAATAAAAATGTAGATGAATGCATATGTACAATATGTTCAGATAATTGTGTTGAAGATGAGCTGCACTTTGTTATGAGATGCAAAATCTACGAAAGTGAGCGCATTATATTATTAGATAAAATTCAAACGTCAAATAAGGACTTTTCTAGCATGACTGAGGAAAACAAGTTCCTATTCACCTTTCCCCAAAGTCAGCTCATGAAGATTATAATTAGCAAACCTGAAATCTCAGACGTCAGAGTAGGGCAGATTTTCGTGGGAAAATCTTAACATATTGGAAGTCAATGTGAATCGTGACGGAAACGGGTTACTTTTATTGTCAAATTATGTTAAGTAGTAATAATATCATTGTGATAAATGTCATGGAATTTAATAATTATACTCACGTCTATATCCCCCCTTCTTTATATTGTTCTGGGAAATCAAAGGATTAGAGAAATATTGATGTGAAGAGTCCAATGTTTCCTGTACATTTTCAAATTACGCCGACTGTACAAAACCCCATGTTTAGTTCTTGACTGTCAAAATGTCAACATTCCATGGTAATCTTAAGTTGAAGAAGGGGGTACGGCTTAACCCTGAAGACAACGTATTCAATTCTCAAATCTGGGCCAACGGTGCATTACTTTCACTTACGTTCAGCCACCTATTATACCACATGACAAGGTTACTTTTATGTCTGTCGAAGAATTTGACAATGGTTACGTGAGGGATGACTTATTTCATTGAACAATGTTAAAGCCGTTCATGTATCCTTTGAGACAATGTACCAGATTTGCTTGTTTTATTACCCACGATCGTCTATTTGAAGAGATTTATCTCTTGAAAAGCCCATGGGCGTTCTTTTAAATATTGAACTTTTTAGAGAACTTTCAGGATATTTTTGGACGTAGACCTACAAGAGAGAAACTCCGACAATTCAAGCCCGTAGTCAGGATTTACCTGGGGAGCGCCCCGGCGAAATGATATTCTTGTGATATGAATATTCATGAATTATTCATGAATATTCAGGTGTGATGAATATTGTAATATCGAGATAAATTGTGAAGAATAAAGATTTAACCATATTCTTGTATTTTTGAAGAATAATAAAGAATAATTTATGTTCTTGAATATTCTTCAAATTCTATGGTGAATAATTGAAGAAAAATAAAGAATGTTTCATGTTCTTCAAAATACTTCATATTTTCACCACCCTGAATGAAGAATATTTGAATAATAATGAATAACATTTTCTATTTCTTGAAATCTTGGAAATTCTTCATATTTTCACCATGTTGTTTAAGGAATGAGAGAATAATAATGAATAACTAAAATATTCTCAGATATTCTTCATTTTTTCACCACTTCATTTGAAGGATATTCGAAGAATAATAAAGAATATTTTGTATTGTTGGATATCCTGAAAATTCTTCATATTTTCACCACCTTGTTTAAAGGATATTTGAATAATAGTGAAGAACTTCTATGTTCTTAGATATTCTTCAATTTTTCATTACCTCATTTGAAGAATATTTGAAGAATTATGAAGAACATTTTGTAGTTATGGTATTCTTGGAGATTCTTTATATTTTCATTAACTTGTTTGAAGGATATTTGAATAATAATGAGGAACTACAATGTTCTCAGATATTCTTCACATTTTCACCACCTCATTTGAAGAATATCTGAAGAATAATAAAGAACATTTTGTATTGTTCGATATCCTGAAAATTCTTCATATTTTCACCACCTTGTTTAAAGGATATTTGAATAATAGTGAAGAACTTCTATGTTCTTAGATATTCTTTAATTTTTCACCACCTTATTTGAAGAATATTTGTTGAATAATAAAGAACATTTTGTACTACTGGTAATCTTGGAAATCCTTCATATTTTCACCATGTTATTTAAAGGATATTTGAATAATAATGACGAACTTATGTGTTCTTAGATATTCTTCAATTTTTCACCAGCTTATTTGAAGAATATCTTAAGAATAACAAAGAACATTTTGAATTATTGGTAATCTTGGAAATTCTTCTTATTTTCACCTACTTCTTTGAAGGATATTTGAATAATAATGAAGAACTAAAAAATATGTTCTCAGATATTCTTCACTTTTTCACCACATGTTTCCTACATGTTTCTTTATTTAAAAATCTTCAAGAAAGATGTTTAAATAAAGAAACATGTAGGAAGAATTTCTCTGCTTTTATTTCAAATTATTTTATTATATTTAGTATGTACACTAAGAATTTTGACTTTTATACATATTATTATTATATATATATATAAATTCAAGAATTATCTTCAGAATAACAGGAATTCTGAATTATAGTTCAAAAAGTATTTAAGTATATTGTAAGAAATTGTATTTGAATCCAACAGCAACATACTAGTATGTTATAGTATGTTTTATTACATAAAATTGTTATTTACCTAGGTTCAAGAACGCTATGTACTAGGTTTAAGAACACTTACAGAATTTATTCAAAATAAAACATTATTTTGTATTAAAGATACAAATTATTTTACTGTGTATTTAATATTCAATATATATTCATCCTGGCAACACTTGCAGAGCTTTTTCAGAATAAAGTGAAATATCTAAGTCCTGGAAAATATTCTACAAATATTCTAATATTCAAGAATTATGATTATTGTCAATGCATAAGAACTTTATAAAAGTCAATTTCATGTGAATATTATGTTCAATATGGTGTAAGGAACACAATGGAAAATATTTCAGTTATCGCCCGAACAGATGCTTTATTTGAAAACGGAGCGTCCAATGCCATTAGGCATTGCTAGAACATACATTTGCATATTTTCTCCACACTGAACTAAAACAAGTTTTCTCTTTAGCTCACTTATGTGATACAGCTCTGTTTTCCCTGAAGGTTTTGCTTTATTTGCATAAGTTGAACCTCTCTGCACTCTGAGCATATCAATTACTGCAAAATGTGTTTCTTTGCCATCAGTAACAAACCTCTTAATGAAACCACGTTTTCCATTTTTTAATTCCACACAGTTACAAATTCTCCTCTTCATGCGTGCATACTCATCAGAGTAGAACATCTCTCCATTTATGGAGATTCGTGAAGCCACTGATGTACAGTTCTGAGGCACAGAGTCCAGATCATGATCAGAATCAGATAATGGCCTTGTTTTACCATGTATTTTAAGTTTTTCCTCAGTTGTATTCAACTCTTTGATTTTGACTGGTTGATTTTGTGTCCTTATTTTAATCTCAGCTGTTTTTTGCCTCATTATCTGTGTTGTTACATCCCCTGTTCCATGGCACATTTTTAATATATGTGCATTTGAATCTTCATAGGGAAAGCAGCTCCAATTCCACAATGGTCCCAATTGTTGGACCCAATATCCGAAATGGGCTCCAATGTAGTGCAAGTTCAATGTACAGTCTCCAGGGGGATATAGCTTGGGGTATTCAACGTAGAATTCTTTGAGGAGAAGTTCTGCTCTGTTAATTTGTTCTGTAGTTATACTGTCACCAAGCAAAATGTGTATGCCTTCAGAGAGTTTTTTGAAATGGTCCAAGTATTTCTTAGGGAGGATTCCTTCGAGGCAAGGTACTGCATAAAAAAGCATCCATGTTTGATTTTCAGTTGCCTTGAAGTGTAAATAATGTTTCTCCAGGTTTCGTGGTAACCTTTCTATCATGTTTGGTGGCTTAATATACTGCATTCTTCTTGAAATTTCTTTTATTTCTTTACCAACATGGTAACTTTCATTGCTGTTTTCAGAAGAAAACCACCTTTTATTAATTTTTGGGATTACACCCATACAGACACAGTGCATGTAGTCGGGTGGGCAAAGTTTGCTCAAGTCCACTCCTTTCAGATCATAGAGCCCAGATTTACCTTTAAAACCCAGGATTCTTTTTTTCTCTTGGCCTTTTGTCATGCAATCGCGAATCTCCTTGTCTGTTCTGTATTTGTAGGTGTGCTGGGCTGGAAATGCTTTAGTGTGTCCACCACCTTGTACTTCAGTTTTGCCTGGTATTTCACAAGTTGTGCAAGCATACTGGCCGTTATAATATGTCATGTTCATCATATTTGCCCTAGCTGGTAGGTCTGCTGGTGATGTAATGACTACTACTTTCACATTTATCATTTCTTGATTTACATGAATATCTATGCCCTCTGTATATAGTTTGTTCATTTCCGATGAGAATACTTCCATGTACTGTTGGAAAGGTGGCTTACCCTTTCCTTGCCATAAACTAGCTGGGATCATATTTTCACGAGCAAACCTCTCTGCAGGAGGGAGTTCAGTCACTGATAGGAAAATCGGCCATATTTCAACACCTGTTGATTTATAGAGGTTAACACCATCTGTATTCATCATGACACTAATATTGTGAGGATTTGATAAAAATCCAGTTTTTATTAGGTTTCTGTAGACCTCACCATCTGTAACATCTTTTAGTACCCCATCACTAGTTTCATAGCGTTCGAGTATGACTCC